ACATTACATACAACTATGGAGCTGAGGAAGCTGATGCCCTTTAAATGACTATTGATATCCCTGCAAAGTTTTTGTGTGTGCTGGGAACTGAACTCAGTTCTATAAAAAGCCATGTGAGCCGTCTCTCTAGTGCTCCTTCAGAGACTTGTAGGTGATACTTACTGGTTTGGGAAAATCTCCTCCAGAGAAACCTAGGAATCAGAAAACATCCCAGTCTCTCTGACTCACTCATTTTAGGCAACCTAGGGTAAACTTTGCTCACTGTAATACTACATTTTCTGCCCTGTGGAATTCCTAGCTCCTCTTTTGAACAACTCATGACCTTGAACTTGACCTGAGCATACTCAAGGATGTTTCCATCTAACAACACACCTATGAAAGTATGGATACATTTTCTCAGTAAAGGAAAAGAAAGGTACAGCTTTTTGCCTTTTTTCCCTGGGAGAAATTGCTTTGGAAATTATTCCCAGTGTATTCTTTCTTGCTGGAAGAAGAAAGCCTTTCCTTCACTCTGTTATCTCCTGGCATTGTTTACTGGATTTGTACCCACACAGAGGCAAAGCCTAGGCAGTTAGTGACAGCCAGGGGATAGAAGACAAAGAAACTCTGGGCCCCTTACCTCTTAATAGATAAGTGGCACCTATAGAAATTAAGATATTATGAATTTTGGATGTCATACATTAGTGTCTTCACATTTGTCTTTATGTGGATAAGACCTCTGCTATGTGAGCTCTAACAGTTGTGCATGCCACTTTGTAGGGCCTCAAAACTTTGCTAAAAGCATTAAGTCTTTACATGAACTTGCAGACATCTGAAGAGTGACTCAAATGGGATAAAAAGTTTGACGTCTCTGACTTGATGTCGGATAACGGACACCTAGAAACTGCTTTTGTTAAAAAGCATCAACTTTCACTAGGGTTCACCAGGAAACCAAAAAGACAAAAGCCTGGCATTCCCATCTTCATTTCAGATCTGTCCTTTACTTTGGGCCAGACCGTTTCGGCTATTTAATCACACTATGTAAAGATGTGTCACTGTGTTACCTTGCCTGCCTAAGGCACCTGACTGTTTTAATAAAGATCTGAATGTCCAATAGCCAGGCAGGAGAGGATAGGCAGGACTTCCAGGGAGAGAGAGAAACTCTGGGACAGAATCTGAGGTGCATAACATTCGCTAGCCAGACACTGAGGGATTTGGACATAAGTACAGAGGTAATAAGCCACATGACAGAATGTAGATTAATATAAATCAGTTAAATTAAGTTATAGGAGCTATCTGGGAACAAGCCTAAGCTAAAACCAAGCTTTCATAATTAATAAAACATTTCCAAGTTGTTATTTGGAAGTTGGCAGTCCAAAGAAAGTCCAACATCACCAGACTCCTGTTTAACTTTATATGTACATATTAATTATTCAAAGAGTGTACATAAACAAATTAGGAATATTATAAGAAATAAAATATGTTCTATTTTCAATACACAGATGTCCTATGGCTTCAGAGAAACATCAGGTGCTGGATCTCCCATCCCAAAGGCTGACATCTGCTTGTCTGCCTTTTGGTGAACTACTTTCAAGGTTTATCTCCAGTGGGAAAATACAGGGTTAGGGTAAAGGCACTTGCCCTTTACAATACAGATGACCTGAGTTCCATTCTAGGGAACCATAGTGTAGATGGAGAGTCCTTACTCCTGAAAGTTGTTCCCTGATGTCCACACATGCACTATAGACCATGTGTGGAATGATATACCCTCACAAACACAAACAAAATGCAGCTTAATAAAATAAAAAAAAATCCAGACAGTGTACTATGTGACTAAGTGCATGTATCAAAGGAGGCCAGGGGTGGGGCCATGACTAAAGCAGATTCTGGGGCAGTTACATCACAATAGACAACTTCACAAAAACTGACTTTGCCCGAGTTTCACTGCATCTCCAGGGCCTCTTATTATGAGGCAGGGGGCCTGAAACCCCACAGCACCTAATCTGTCTCAGGCCCTTTCAAAGATGAAGTAAGAGAAACTGAAACATTTTTCCTTGAGCCTTTCCATGTGCTGTCCAGAACTCCATTCCCAATCATTGTCCTAAACCTGACATTACTGGGAATAACAGGAGCTGTGCACACAAGCAGGAGCAATCATCTCACAGGAACTGGTTTGTCTCTTCTGGCTTTGGCAGCAGTAGGAACTCTGAAGGAACATGTAGGCCCAGAACTGAGGATGAGCAACAAGACCACACCTTGATTGAAATTGTTAGATTATTTCTACTGCTCCAACTCATCCTCTATAAAAACCTGAAACATGTCAGTACTCAAAGACAGACCTAGGCTTCTTTATCTAATTTCGTCTCAATGTGCCACACTGACTGCACATCTCTCTTCTGCTTTCTCCAGTACTCATCTCTTGAGTCATATTTAGACTTCTAGCCCTTCCTTAGCAAACTAGTATAAGGGCAAAATCCATTATGATGTTCTAGAGAAGACACAGACTCTTCCTTACCAAGCCTGTCCAGCCTGCAGCCTCACTGACTCTGCCCATAAAAACATCCTTTGGCCCTGTCTTAGCTCTTCCTTGTTGCTATGATAGAAACTCTGACAAGAGCAGCATACAAAAACAAGAGTTTATTTCAGCCCACAGCTCAAGGTACAGTCCATCCTGGTAGAGAAGTCAAGTTGAAGCAGCTGGGCATTTCATCCACAGCCAAGAAGCAGAGAACAGTACACTAATGCACACCAGTACTCAGCTTGCTTGCTCCACTTCCCACAGTCCAGGTGAATGGGCCCACCTACAATTAAGATGGGTCTTTCCACATCAATTAAAGTAATCAAGATATCCCTCACATGCATGCATAGGCCTTTTTTCCCAGGTGAGTCTTATTTGTCAAGTTGACAACAGAAACCATCACAAGCTTTGAGCCTGGGATGACAGCTTTAAGGAACTAGCTCTTCCTTCTTCAGGGTACATAATAAACCTGATTCTTACCTACCAACACTTGTCTCAACAAATCCTATTACCACAGAGAAACTTTAGCCCTGACAGTTTTGGTTTTGCATACTTTAAATTCTTAAAAGTTCTTATATTGTTATTTTTTACTAATTCATTATTATTGTGTGTATATGATGTGTGTGTGTGTGTGTGTGTGTGTGTGTGTGTGTGTGTGTGTGTGTGTGTGTTCTTGGATGCCATGGTGGGCATGAGCAGGACAGAGGACCACTTTTGGGAGTCAATTCTCTCTTTCCATTGTGAGATCCAGAGACCAAACTTGGGTTGTCTGAGTTGCATGGCAAGTGTTCATATCCACTGAGCCATCTCATTAACCCTCAGATTTTTCATTATTATTGTATTTTTATTTATTTATTTACGTATTTAGTAATATGTGTGTGAGTAAGTGTCATGCATATTAATGTGGATCTGTGCATGAGATGGTGCTCTTTGGAAGGTTGGAGGACCACCTGTGGGACTTGGTTCTTACTTCTCTCCCTTTACTATGTTGATTGTGGTTCTCAGGTAACAGTCTTGGTGGAAAGTGCCCTAATTTGCTGAGACATCTTGCCAGTCTAGCTTCACATGTTTTTATAATAAATATGCTGAAATATAAGATATAGTATAGTATTTTATGTAAAATCCATTTTGGCTTGAATTCAATACCTGAAATAGGGGCTAGAGAGATGACTCAGTGGTTAAGGGCACTTGATGTTCTTGTAGAGGAACTTGGTTTGATTTCTAGCACTCACATGGTATCTCACACATGTGTCACTGAGTTCCAGGGGATTTGATACCCTCTTCTAGCCTCCATGCACAGACACATGGGGCAGTTATTGCAGGCAATACACTCATAGACACAAAATAAAAAATAACTAAGATAAATATTGCCACACCAAAGAAATTAAAAGGGTTTCATTTAGAAGGACAACAAAAAAATATGCTACAATATGATATAAGCTTTGACTGTTAATTTACCTTTATTTCCTCATTGATAAAATGAATATTATCTAGACTTTTAGGGTGACTGCAAACATTAAAAATATCTATAAGGGCTAGAGAGATGGCTCAGAAGTTAAGAACACTGACTGCTCTTCCAAAGGTCCTGAGTTCAATTCTCAGCACCCACATGGTGGCTCACAATCATCTGTAATGAGATCTGGCACCCTCTTCTGTGCACATAATAAATAAATCTTTTTTTAAAAATCTATAAAACATTTAATACAGAGCCTAGAATGCAGTCATTAACCATAATTAGAACATAATTCTGTTACTAGTGGAATCCTAGCAATCACAGAAGCCAAACTGAATATCAAAGAATTATGTTTTGTACTTAAAAAAATATAACTCCTTTTTACTTTTTCTATAAAAGAGAACTTACCTCTTGTATTAGGGATCAACTTAAGTTCATAATTCTCTTTGTTTCCCACATCAAGATACTTCACAACATTGAGGGATAAAATATTATGATCATCTTGTTGAACCCAATAATTACATGGTTTTAAACTTATGGTCCAATTCCGTCCTTTAGTTGAGCCAAAGTTATATAAGAACCAAGACCTTACTGGGAATAGCAAAGTTGATTTTATTTGATTAGGCATAGTAGCCAGGGATAAAACATTCTTTAGATCTCTAAATTCTGTGATCAGGAAGCTGCTGTAGCCAGGTCTCACCACAGTCTTTTCTACATCTTCAACTGTAAATTTTGCATAGGAAGCTGGAGATAAAGCAGAAGATTTGGTATAAAAGAAAACAGTTAATGTTGACTCAGCAAATGTGACCATAATTAACAAATGTTTTATCTGAGTTTTAAAAATATGACATGGCGCCGGGCGGTGGTGGTGCACGCCTTTAGTCCCAGCACTCAGGAGGCAGAGCCAGGTGGATCTTTGTGAGTTCAAGGCCAGCCTGGTCTACAGAGTAAGATCCAGGAAAAGGCGCAAAGCTACACAAAGAAACCCTGTCTCAACCCCCTCCCCCCCCCCAAAAAAAATGACATGGCTTGAGAACACATTTTCCAAACTTGTTACAATTAAAACACATCATTTTATAGAAAGTTCATTAAGACTATGTGGTACACAAAGCTATACTTTAATGTTTACCATTTTTCTATAAAAATTCTCAGCAGAAAGCCTGGAGAGATGGGTTAGTAGTCAAAGGCTTTTGCTATTCTTCATAGGACCCAGGTCTGGTTCCCAAAACCCACATGGTGGTTACAACCATTTGTCACTCCAGTCCTGGGGACTCAGCTGTGTCCTCTGACTTCCACAAGTACTGTGTGCATAGTACACATACCTATGTGCAAGCAAAATTCATACACATTAGCTGAAAGATACAAATCTAAAACAAGTTTATAGCAGGGGAAAAAAACAGAAGAATCTTCCTTCTCTCTCTCTGCCTTCATTCTTTACCTGTCTTTTCCTTCCTTTCTTTTGTTCTTTGTCAATAATTTCCTGTGTTTCAACCATGAATATTTAGACTTCTAATTTAAATGGAAAAATTAGATTTATTGTGTGTATTATTGTTTTGGTTGCATGTATGTAAGTATACCATGTACATGCCTGGTGTTAGCAGAGGCAGAAGAGGATGTCGGGTCCTCTGGGACTGGAGTTACAGATGGCTATGAGCCACCATGTGGGTGCTGCAAAACAAACCTGGGTCCTCTGTAAGAAACACAAATGTTTTTAACTGCTGAGCTAACTTCCCAGCCCTAGATTTCAAATTAAAATCATAGCATCAATCATGTACCATCAAGAAAAAAGAAGAAGACAGGAATCTGATTCTGATGCTGAACTTGGCTATATAGTAAGAAAAATATGGGAGAGAGGGAGAGTTTGAAAGATTGATATTTAATACAATTCCAATTAAAATCCTAAAAAGTAATTTTTATCAATATTCAAAATTTAGTTATAAATGTTACATGGACAGACAAAAGATGAGAATGGTTAATATAATAATATACTATAACTATAACATTACCGTAATTTTATAAGTTTATAAAACAAATTTATAGAATTGTTACTATCATTTTCAAACTTACCATATAGCTGCAGTCATTCAGAGTATGTGTTTTGGGGGAAAGACTGGACATTAAGGAAATTGAACAGAAAAATCTAGAAATAAACTCACAGAAATACTGATACTACTCGTCAGAAAAAAGCAAAGAAAATTGAAGAGATTAAGTACAGTCTTCTTAATACATGGCAGGAAGACTAGGATATGCAGAAGCAAAGGAATGATGTAGACAAAGAACTTACAACTTCATAAAATTTATAATTCTCGATGTAAATGCCACAGTTAGATCTTTTCAAAGATAAATCTAGACAGTTTTTAGTTTGGCAATAAGGTTACAGATAGACAGCTAACAACAGGTCTATAAGCAAGATACTTAATTTCATTGGAATTAAGTTTCTGTTTCATGACATTGTTAACTGAATTAATAGACAAATACACTGGGACAAATTTTGTAATACACATGTCTGATAATAGACTCATATCTCAAACATACAAAGAATCCTTTGAAATATTTAAAAATTATTTTTATTTACTTGTGCATCTGTGTGCCTCTGCATGTGTATGAACATACATGTGTGTCTAGGTTTCCAGAGAGGATAGAAGAGGTCATTAGATCCCTTGGTGCGTGAGTTACAGACAGTAGTGAGACAACTGACATGGATACTGAGATCTGAACTTTGGTCCTCACCAATAGACAGGTCATCCAGACAAAAACTAAAAAGAGAAATGCTGGAGATGAATATCATAAATCAAATGAACCTAACAGACATATACAGAGTATTTCACCCCCACACAAAGAATATAATTTCTTCTCAGCAGCTCATGAAACTTTCTCCACAATTGACCACATCCTTAGATACAAAGAAAGTCTCAACAGATATAAGAAAAGTGAAGTAATACCATGCATCCTATCTGACTGCCATGAATTACAGTTGGATATCAACAACAACAGGAAGTATACAAACTCATGGACACCAACTCACAACTGAGTGAAAAATAGGTCAAGACAGATATTAAGAAAGAAATAATGAAAATGAAAACACAACATAGCCAAACCTATGGGACACAATGAAGGCAGTTGTAAGAGGCAAGTTCACAGCACTAAGTGCCTACATTAAAATTTGGAGAGACCTCATATTAGTAACTGAATGGCACAGCTGAAAGCTCTAGAACAACAAGAACAATTAACACCCCCAAAGGAACAGACAGCAAGAAATAACCAACCTCAGGACTGAAATCAAAACAAACAACAATAAAAACAATACAAAAAAAATCCTGAAATGAAGAGTTGGTTCTTAGAGAAAATAGATTGAAAAATCATTAGCCAAATTAACTAGAAGATGGAGAAAGAAGATGTAAATATATAGAATATATTGTTATGGAGAGACAAAGGGAAACTAAAATAGGATTAAATAGGGATACGGATTAAAGAGAAGGGTAAAAGAGGTAATACACGGAAGGAATAATTAACATCAAAGGTCATTTAAAAATCATATGGAAACCTACTACTGTGCCTAAACTATATTCATATATAAAAGGAATCTAAATGGAGTCACCAAATAATAAGGAGGACAATGTTCCAACTAGACATCTTATGCCACCATGTAAAACCTTCAGTGCCAGGAATGGGTTACATCTTGTTGAATTGTTGCCTAAAGGGCCCCATGAAAAGCCACAAGCATCACAGGCTATCACCAAGGACATTGGATACTCTCCACAAAGTGTTGGTAAGGCCCTTTGATGAAGACAACATTTAATATATCTCATTAAACACAGAGAAAACAAGCTGGTACCTAACTAGAAGCTTCATACCTAGTGATTAGTGTTCATGGTACTAGAAGGTACTCTGCGTGCATGCTACCAGAGGAGATAGTTAATTATTAACCCTGCTACAAATCCTGTGATTTACAACAGTGATCTGTCTGCAAGACATACTGGCACAACACTGCCACAAACATTATGGAAGTAATTAACCACTTTTTGAATGGATTTAAGGCCCACTCTATGAGACAGAAGTCACACCTGACACTGATAAAGTGGTGAAGAACTTGAGACTATATATGCTGTGGCCTAAGGGGAAAATCAAATACTATTATTCTGCTAAAGGAACATAGCAATAAAATGACTTTCAGTGATATTCGTCTATATACACGTGTTAGTGCCTCACTACTATAGACACTTCCTGTAGTAGATATGAACACACACACACACACACACACACACACACACACACACACACACACACACACAGAGCCTGTTCAGGCAGGGTAGGTCTCATGCCCAGGAAGAGTCAGCAAACACAAAAACAAACTCAATGGCATTTTTGTAGATTTTTTTTGTCTTATTTTGTTTTGTTTGGGCATTTTGTCTTATTGTTCCTTTGTATATTTTGGTTTCTATTTTTGTGGGGGAGTATTGTCTGTTGTTTGTTTTTAGGGGGAACATAAAGTTGGAAGAATAGAGTGCTAGGGAGTATCTGGGAAGAATTGGGGGGAGAGGAAACTTGATCAAAATATATTTTATAATTTTTTTCAATAACAAAGGAAAACAATACAGGCTCTTGCTATGTAGCTGAGGCTCACCCCAAATTAATGATTTTCCTGTCTCAGAATCCCAAGTGCTAGGGTTCAGAAGTGAACCACCTGGTGGCCTTCAGATTTACCACAGTCCTTCTTCCTCTCTTTTTACCCCTCTCTTTGTGTGCTGGAGATTGAACCCAGAGCCTTGTGCATGCTTGGCCTGACAAGGTGCAGGTTTGACAATTGGAGAAGAAATAGGAACCTAAGGTTTGACATGATCTCCCACCCAATGACTTGCCTTTGGCTGGCTTCTCTGCCTTCCTGTGTGGCCTATCTATGTCTCCTGCCTAGTCACAAAGACAAAGTGATCCTGTTAAATTCAAATCAGACCAGTCATTTTCTAGCAATACCTTCCTTTACAGTTACTCAGAGCGAAAACTAAATCCTTCACTAAATTAAAAAGGTTTTAATTTGCCGGGTGGTGGTGTCTCTTGCCTTTAATCTCAGCACTTGGGAGACAGAGGCAGGCAGATCTCTGTGAGTTTGAGGCCAGCCTGTTCTACAGAGCCAGTTCCAGGACAGGATCCAAAGGCATTCAAAGAAACTCTGTCTTTAAAGACTTTTAAAAAAGATTTTAATTATGTGTAGTTATTATGCGTTTGTGTATGTGGGTATAGGTGCCCTCAGAGAGCAGAGGCATTGAATCCCCTGGAGTTGGAGTTCCAAGTTGTTCTGAGTGCCTGAGGTTGGTGATGGGAACTGAACTTGGGTTTTCCACAAAAGCAATATATACTTTTAATCATTGAGCTACCTATCTAGCCCCAAACCCTATTAACTTTGGTTGTGTATCTATCAGATAATACTTAGAAACAGAAACATCCTTTATGACAGAGATTCAAATTCTCTCTTTTTTGTTTTTCACTTTTGGTTTTTGAAACAGGGTTTCTCTGTGTAGCCCTGTTTGTCTTAGAACTCACTCTATAGACCAGATTGGCCTTGAATTCACAGTGATATGCCTGCCTCTGCCTCCAGAGTGCTAGGATTAAGGGTGTGCATCACCACCGCTCTGTTAAAATTCATTTTTATTAAGTAGGGCAAAATAGTCATATTCTATGAAAAAAATTGACACAAAGTCTCTCTATACCACCTTACCTAGCTTGGAACTTGATATCTATATCAGATTGGCATGAAACTCACAAAGATCTTCCAGCCTCTGCCTCCTAAGTGCTTAGATTAAAGGTGTTGCATCATCATCCCTGGCCACTTTTTAAAAAAGTTTTTTACATCTAGTATCCTCCTATGAGTGAGTACATACCATATTTGTGTTTCTGAGTCTGGGTTACCTCACTCAGGATGATTTTTTTCTAGATCCATCCATTTGCCTGCAAACCTCATGATGTCATTGTTTTTCTCTGCTGAGTAGTATTCCATTGGGTATATGTGCCACATTTTATTTATCCATTCTTCAGTTGAAGGGCATCTAGGTTGTTTCCAGGTTTTGGCTATTACAAACAATGCTGATATGAACATAGCTGAGCAAGTGCTCTTGTGGTATGATTCAGCATTCCTTGGGTTTATGCCCAAGAGTGGTATAGCTGGATCTTGGAGGAGATTGATTCCCAATTTTCTAAGAAAGCGCCATATTGATTTCCAAAGTGGTTGTACAAGCTTGCATTCCCACCAGCAGTGGAGGAGAGTTCCCCTAGTTCCACATCCTCTCCAGCATAAGTTGTCTTCAGTGTTTTTGATCTTAGCCATTCTGACAGGCATAAGGTTGTTTTGATTTGCATTTCCCTGATGATTAGGGATGTTGAGCAATTCCTTAAATGTCTTTCAGCCATTTGAGTTTCCTCTGTTTAGTTCTATAGGCAATTCTGTTTAGTTCTATAGCCCATTTCTTAATTGGACTGTTGGTCGTTTTGATGTCTAATTTCTTGAGTTCCTTATATATTCTGGATATCAGTCCTCTGTCAGACATGGGGTTGGTGAAGACCTTTTCCCATTCTGTAGGGAACAAGGATGACTGGACTGCTATTCACATCACCAGGGAGTCTGCCTGGAAAACAGGACCCCAAGAAAGACATGGGGATCGCCCAATGACGAAGAAATGGCTGAGATCTACATGAACAACCTGGACATGAGTGGGGGTAATAAAGGCCAGGGGTCGAGGGAAAGAGAGCTATGGGGAGCAGGAGATCCCAGCTAGATCAAGAACAGAGATGGAGAACAAGGAATAGGAGACCATGGTAAATGAAAACCACATGAGAAAAGAAAGAAACAAAGTGCTAAAGAGGCCCACAGAAATCCACAGATACCCCAACAATAGACTGCTGGCAATGGTCGAGAGACAGCCCAACTGACCTACTCTGGTGATGGGATGGCCATACACCCTAATAGTCGTGCCAGAAATTCCACCCAATAACTGAGGAATCTGGATGCAGAGATCCATGGCTAGGTCCCAGGTGGAGCTCCGGGAGTCTAATTAGCAAGAAAGAAGAGGGTTTACATGAGCAAGAATTGTTGAAACCAAGGTTGGATAAAGCACAGGGACAAATAGCCAAACGAATGGAAACACATGAACTATGAACCAACGGCTGAGGGGCCCCCAAGTGGATCAGGCCCTCTGAATGGGTGAGACAGTTGATTGGCTTGATCTGTTTGGGAGGCATCCAGGCAGTGGGACCGGGTCCTGTGCTCATTGCATGAGTTGGCTGTTTGAAACCTGGGGCTTATGCAGGGACGCTTGGCTCAGTCTGGGAGGAGGGGACTGGACCTGCCTCAACTGAGTTTACCAGGTTGATCTCAGTCCTTGGGGGAGGCTTTGCCTTGGGGGAGGTGGGAATGGGGGGGTAACCTGGGGGGAAGGGGAGGGGTGCAGGAGGGGGGAGAACAAGGGAATCCATGGCTGATACGTAGAACTGAATGGTATTGTAAAATAAAATAAAAGGAAAAAAGTTTTTTAAAAATGCATTCCAAATGTATTTTTAGTTGACAGAAAAATCCTATTTTCTCTTACTTCTTCTGATCACTATTTAGGATAAAATAAGTCTCACGGTAATAAATAATACACACTACTTCTGAGGACATAGTAGTGAAGTTGTAGGTATGTTTTATTATATTATGAACAACTAATCCTGCAACCTAAGTATCTGGAAACTATGGTTAATTGCCAGTTGAACTAGAATTTGAGAGTAAGGATAGTACTGTAGTGGTAGAGTACTTGCCTAGTATATTCAAGGCTTTAGGTTCAATATTCAGATACACACACACACACACACACACACACACACACACACACACACGCACTAAAACATAAAGGAACATGAAGTCTTCTCAAAAGGTAACTTTATTTTTTGTAACCATCAGAGATAGATTATATTTTTATACTTACCTCTTGTTGTAATTTCAATGTGGTAGAAAATGTTTCCAGTATATGAAATTTTAAGAGAAGCATATACACAAGGACTGTCCTTAAAATTTTCTGCTCCAAAATGTTCTGTTATTTCTGTAAGAACCGAGGTATGAAATCCCAAAGGACCATTGGTATGTACTAGCAATTTTCTGATGTAAGCATTTCCATTTTTACTAAAAGCAAAATGACAAACATATAAAATGGATATCCCAGTGGCTTAAATAAGCAGGCATATTGACATATAGTTTACAAATAAAATATACCAATACTAGGATTGATGATAGGAATATACCAGCTAACAAATGAATATTTGGCAAACAGTTGTTCAAAGTTTCTAGATGTCAAGAAAATGGCCTATACAACATATGTTTTCATACTTAAAATGGGCAAAGATTATCTATCATCTATCCATCGATCTGTCTACTATCTAATTATCTATCTATCTATCTATCTATCTATCTATCTATCAATCAATCATCTATCTATCTACCATCTATGTACCTAACCATCTATGTACCATCTATCAAACATCTACCTATTTATCATCTATCATTATCTATCTATCATTATCTATCTATCTATCTATCTATCTATCTATCTATTTATCTATCTATCTATCTATTTATTATCTATCATCTGCATATCTATCTATCATCTCTTTTGTGTTGGAGATCAAACCTAGAACATCATGACTGTTAGGCCAATGCTATACCTCGGATCCACATCCCCAGCCTATAAATATCTTTAGCTGTCAGAGTTCCACAGAGATGATACTTGAATGGAAATAGCGGCACATTCACTACTGCTATGATTGTAAATTAAGACAAGTTTCCTAGAAACACTTTACATTTGACACTTTACATTTGAATAAAAAAATAAAAAATGAAGAGACATGACTGCTCCTGGGTATGGTGGAGGAGAATTATTGTAGTTAAGAGGGAGAGAATAATCAGAGGCATCTGGAAGGGTCCAGACTAAACATGGCCATGAAAAGAGAGAGTGGAGAGTGAGAAGAGAAGAAAGAGGGAGCAAACAGAGTAAGGTAGAGAGGTCTTATAATCACAACACTGAGGAGATGGGTTCAGACACACACACACACACACACACACACACACACACACACACACGCAGAAGAGAGAGAGGGGGAAGGGAGGGAGAGGAAGAGAGAGAGAGAGGAGGAGGTAGATATCAAGTAAGCACAGAAAGAGCAACACATCATACATCATCACAGGACTAGAAATTAAAATAACAAAACCTTAAACACTAATAATGTCAAATGTTGGTAAGGATGCATGAAAGGAATTCTAATTCATTGCTGGTGGGAATGCAGAAAGGTATGGTGAGCTAGGCAGTTTCTTTTAATTTCACACATATTCTTACCATATGCAATAGTCCTAGGTATTTACCTGAGTGAACTGAAAAGATATGTCAAAATCAAAGCCTGCATGTGATACTACTAGCATTTTGTTCATCAGGAGCAACTGGGATGTCTTTCAGTTGGTGAATAGGTTGGGGCTGGGGAAATGCTCAGCATTTAAGAACACCACCTGCTCTTCCACAGGACCTGGTTTGATTCCCAACACCCACATGGCAGCTCACAAACATCTGTACCTTCAGTTCCTGGAGACTGAATGACCTCTTCTGGCCTCCATGGGCACTGAATGCACATAGTGCACAAACAGATGCATGTATAGGTAAAAAAAAAAAATACATAAAGCAATAAAAATAAATTAAAACAATGGGTGAATGCTATATAACAGTTTCAAACACATAATGGAATACTAGTCATCACTAAATAATTATCAAGTCATTAGAAAGTAATAGGTATCTTTTAATTTTTTTGAAATTAAAATATAATGAAAACATTTCCCACTTTCTTTTCCTCCCTCCAACTCCTCTCACATTAGCTCCTCTCTCATCTTTCTCCCTTTCAAATTCATTACCTCTTTTCCTCTATTTGTTGTATATTTATAATCTGCTTAGTCCATTTAGTATGTACATGATGTCAAGGCTGACAACTTGGTATTGGATAACCAATTGAGGGGCACATGCCTTAGGAAGGTGATTTTCCCACTTCTCTAGTTGCCTCTAGTTCTTTATTTATTAGTGGGGCCCTATGATATTTCCCCTTCTATGTTAGCATGTTTAGTGATGGAATAACTGTTCAGGTCTTGTTTAAGCAGGGTAATAGGAATCTTACAGGCATATTTCAAGAGGAAGAAGCAAATCTCAAAGTGGTGTGTAATCCAATTATGTGGTATTCTAGAAATGGCAAAACTAAGGAGACAGAAACAACAACAAAGAAGTTCCCAGGAGCTGGGGAGGCAAGGGTTAATAGATGAGACACAGAGGAATTTTAGTACACCAAGACTGTTATGTATGTGCTATAATGCCGCCAGACATTTGTTCCAACACTGAGAATGGGTATCGAGAGTGAAGCCTGGAGGGGCATTGTGGTACATGCCTGTTACGTTGACACTCAGGAAAATGAGGCAGGAGGATTGAGGGTTTGAGGCCAGCTTTAGGGTACAGAGCAATTTCCTCTCTCTCAAAAAAAAAAAAAAAGTGAATACTGCCACAAATGATGAACTCTGATTCAAGTTAGGTCTGTATAAGTTATCAGTTGGAACAACTGTACAACTCTGGGGCCACGTGTGGACAGTATGCAAAACAAAATTGTGGTGGAGTCCATGAGAACTTTCGGTTCTTCTCAATTGCGTTGTAAAGCTCAAATAAATTAACAGAAACCATGTTTTTTTTTTTCTTTTGGTTTTTCGAGACAGGGTTTCTCTGTGTAGCTTTGCGCCTTTCCTGGGACTCACTTGGTAGTCCAGGCTGGCCTCAAATTCACCAGAGATCCGCCTGGCTCTGCCTCCCGAGTGCTGGGATTAAAGGTGTGCGCCACCACCACCCGGCTATCATTAATTTTTAAGAAGTTAAGCTCTTTGTGTCTGAAGTCAATGGCCAGGGCCAGCAGCCAACTCAATTACCAAAGCTGTCCTCCAACCTCTCTCATTTGGAGTCTCTAAGTGTCAAGAATTGCTTTAGGTGAGCACATTCTGTGTAGTTCAAGGGGAGGAGAAAAATAATTCTTTAAAGAAGAAAGAAAGGGGACTCGGGCAGTAAAGGATGGGCTTACATTTAGGGGTCAGTGTGTTCTGGAGGTAGAGTGGAATAACTATTGAGTGGGCCAATACTGGATAAAGTTGACTGTCAGCAGTGTGAATGGGTGCATTGGAGGCTCCCATCCAATAACTGCTCTATCTCTCTAGCTTTCTATCTTCTGCACCTCACATCAATGAAATTGCTTTCAGCCAGGTCATTTTACTTCAGAGTGTCTCCAAATCCAAAGTGATTTCTTGATCCTTATTTTAGCTACTCCAAGCACTGGAAAGCTATTGGAAGCATTTCTTGTTCTGGGTTTAGAGGCCTCCTTTTTCTAGGCTTTTCTACCCCTGACTGGTCATCTTCAGCCTTCACTCCAGGGGCCAATCTCTGTTCCTGGAATGCCTCTTCTGCATTTACATAATCTCCTGCAGTACAACTACCCATACATATGTGAACAACTGCCACATGCTGGGTATCTGATCTTTCCTGCACAACAAATTCATACATCCAATTGTCCATGTTGTCTTCGTCTCATCTTTTAAATACCCAACAGACATTTGGAACTGCATATGTGTAATGTGAAATTTACAGTTATCCTGCTGAATGTCCATGCTCTTCATCTCAGAAAATGACAACATTCACTTGAGCTGCAGACCAAACGCCTATACGACTATTTTTGAAAATGGACTTATTAGGATGCTTAGTGTGTGTGACTATGCCACCTGTGTGTGAATCTCAGAGGATAACTTTTTGAAATGGGTTCTCTCCATCCCTTGTGGGATGCAGAGATCAAGTGCAAGTCATTAGGCTTGTACAGCAAGTGTTTTACTGGCTGCTCCATCTTGTCTGCCACCTACATGGCTCTTGACTCCTCTTCTCATAACTACCATAGTCCATCAGGGCCTCCCTTCTTACAGACGCACCTGTTTCAGCACCATTAATTCTCTTTTCATAGGTCCTAAGGTGTCAGACACCTTTTACTCTTATCTTGTTTCATCCTTTCCATTACAGTCAGAGTGAATTTTCAAAAAATGTGAATGTTTCATTCTCCAACATAACATTGTACAGTGGTTTCTGATGACATCCGCATGTAGCCTATACTATCTGTCTTAGTTTTGGTTTTTATTGCTGTGATAAAACACCATGACCGAATAGCAAGTTGGAGAGAAAAGGGTTTGTTTGGCTTACACTTCCATATTGCTATTCATCATTGAAGGAAGTCAGGATAGGATCTCAAATAGGGAAAGATCCTGGAGATGGGATCTGATGCAGAGGTCATGGAGGGGTGCTGCTTACTTCTTGTTCCCCTGGCTTGCTCAGCCTGCCTTCTTATAGAACTGAGGACCACTATCTTAGGGATGGCACTGCCCCATCAATCACTAATTGAGAAAATGGCTTACAGTATTAGACCTATATATGAAATATTCCTAAAAGGGCAAAAGGAAAAAATGCTACTCCCCTCAAATATATTCACAATAATTGACTGTATAATAGTTTTATTCCTGAGACATAGAGTAAATTTCAATTTCCACAAGCAACCTTTCAAAGCACAGAAAATTACTATCCTGATTTTTCTAGAAGATAATATTTATGAGGTTTTATAATCTTGTTAACAGACCATAAAATATTTCAAGGACAAAAATATTTGTCTAAAATTGTAACTTCATTTTTGAACAGAGATCTAAAATTCTATGTTAGCAAACTAGTCCATAAGTGTATGATGGATAACACAAAATGACTGAGATAATATCGTTAAATCCAGACTATATCTCATAATATTCATCAAAACTAAATGTAAAAATTGAGTGGATTAGCTCAATATATGCTTAAAAAAATTAAAAACCCAAGTATTCAAATCTTTGGCAATTGTGAGCTGCCTCCTGATTGGCGTGGAACTAGTAACTAGACTCGGGCCTTTTGCAACAGCAGTGGGAGCTCTTAATTACTGAGCCATCTCTCCAGCCTCATCTCCCTCTTTGAAGGGGGCAGGGTCTCTCCATGAAAGTAGAGATTATGAATGGACTAGACTGATTGGCCAGTGAGCCTCTGGGTTTCTCCTGCCTCTGCCTTCCTGAGCTGGAATCTCAGGTACACCATTACATGCCTGGATTTTCACATGACTGCTGGAGACCTGGCCTCAGACCCTCATACTTGTTCAGCAAGTTTCTTACTCACTGATCCATCTCTCCAGCTACCAAATCACAAATCTCTTAACAAGAAAAAGCTTTTTAAAGGGTGAAAAACTGTAGAAAGATCACGTCATGGTGAAATGTTAAAACTATTCTTTTAAAAATCAGGAGCAACAAGGAAGCCAGATAGTTTCTTCTTAAGGTGCTTATTATTAGACCTGTAGACTATAATAGGAAAAATCTATAATATGCTAAGAATGTTAAGAAAGAAACAGAAATTATTTGCAAGTGATGTGATTATTTACTTAGAAGTATATCTATGCCTAATAGGAAAATCTAAAAGAATATGTAGAAAGGCACCAGAATTATTAAAAGAATTTAGCGAATACAAGATTATCATACAAAGGGATATGAAATTTTTGCTTTTATTTCAATTACAGGAAAAGAAAATATTAACTTGTCTCTTCCCTTATAGCCATTAGATAGACATACTTTGAAAATTATTTGTGCCCACCAAGACTCATGCTGAGACTTTATCCTCCACATAGCAGTGCTGTAGAGTGGAGTCCAGTGGAGATGGGATGGCTTTTCTTGTTGTAAACTTGACTACATCTGTAAGCAACTCAAACCCAAGTAGCTGTGTATACCAGTGGGGGATTTTTTCTTAACTAAATAATTTGAAGTGAGAAGACTCACTTTTAATCTGCATCTTTTGAGGTGGGAAGATACACTTTTAATCAGGGGTAAGACTTCTGGTTGCAGCCTTTAAAAACAACATGGAAGAAAAATATTTTAGCTTTTTGCCTGCTTGCTCTTGTTCTCATTGGCAAGTCCATTCCTTCCTGGCGTTAGAGCATACTTATTTGAAATTCTGGAATATACTGAAGACCAGCTGAGACATACAGCCTCGTGGGCTGAAACAACTATTGGATTATTGAAACTTCTATTAGTATATTGTGGGACTATCTGGACCACAGCCTATAAGACATTCTAATACCACCCTCACAGCCATTCTATAAGTCCTGTTTCTCTAGAGAACACTGACTAATACAGAAGGTATTTGCATCATGGGAGTAGAGCCCTATCTAAGGAATGGAATAGTTAGGAAGAGACATCAGGTTTCATTTTCTTAAACATCCAGTTGTCCTTCAATCTACCTTCCACCATCAAGTAAGGCCACTGTCCTGACCACAGTTAGACATCTTAACCTGGATATTCTAGTGGCTGAAATAAAAAACCCAGGTAAACCACCTTTCTCTATAAATCACCCAGTTTCAAGTGTTTTTCGTAGCAATAGAAAATGAACTAAGCCAGAACTAACCTGAAATACAGTGGGATTAGCAACTGGAAGGAAAGACCAAACACCATGGAAGAAGAGTATGGGGAAAGGAAACAGTACTGACCATGGCACAAGAAAGTAAGCATCAGCCTAAACTGTTACAAATGCCAAAGGCTGAGCCTAGACCCCATCCTTGGGCACCAGCCACTCTGGGGAAGGCCTGCCCAACTTGGCCCCAGGTTCTGGCCACTGGACAGGTTCCCTTCTAGCCCTACCGGGAAGGATCCCCTTCTCCAAGACCCCCAGTAGACACTGCAATCTCCAGGTGCTGACCCCAGGCCCATCTGTCCGAGCCACTTCCTGAGACTTAGAGACCGGCCCCCAGCTCCCATCCTGCCCAGGACTTCCCGTCTGGACAAGAGCTCCCATTCTGCCCCAGACTTCCCATTAGGACAAGAGAGCTCCCATCTGGACAAGAGAGAGAGACTTCCTGAATCTGTCTGCTCTGTCTGAACCAAGTGTGCTGATAAGATCAAGAACGAACCACAATGAGATGGGCAGACGTCAAGGCAGAAGTACATACAACAAAATGAAGAGCAATACAGCATCACCAGAACCTAGCCCTCCAAAAAACAGCTAGACCTGAACATCAAAAATTGGAAGAAGCAGAAGAAAACAGCCTTATGAATAACATCATGAAGAAGGTAGAGGCTTGTATAGAGGAAAAGACAAAAAAA